ATGTGTTGTACTCAATAAATTTTGCATTAGAGATTGGAATGTCTCAGCTGTGCTTACTTCATTGGAATCATCAATCAAAACCTTGACACCTATGTTACAAGAACCTCACCAGCCTACTTGCCTTCCCCTGGGAATGACCAGATAAGGTTTCATGGATTCTGGGGGAAGTCATGATTATGGCATTTATGGCAGCATAATGACTCCAAGCCTAGCCCTCTCTTGACCCCTCTCTCCAGTCAAGCTGGCAATTCCCTACAGTATACTCCTATATACATATGTTGTCATTTAAGGCAAATATAAAACAGGTTAAAATTACAAAAGAAAAAAGAAAAACAAACATGATACCTGACCTCAAACCAAAACAGTATCTACACATTGGCTACATGTAGAAATTAAATAAAAAGGAAAGAGAGGAATGCATGTTTCAGGTTCAATATTCATTGACTAGAATCAGATATAGAGAAAAAGGAGAGTTGCATTGCATCCTGTCCTCCATATCACTCTACTCAACAAGGCTAGAAGAATACCATGGTTGATCACATTCTTCCCCCACCAAATGACAGCAGACAAATTTCCTGGGCTCTAATCAGTTGTTAGGCAACTCTCCCGCACAGTTTAAGTTAGACTCCACCTCTCCATTTTAAAGTGAGACAGGAGAAATGAACTTCTATATCATTCCTAACCAAGCAGGATAATAATCCATTTCTTTCACACACACATACTTACATTATTGATACTCTTACAAGGCTACAGCTGATCCCATGCTTAGCACCCCCGCTATCTGAACAAACTCTGGCACAGGCCAGACTCCATCTTGGATACACCCAAAGGTGATTTATCAGGACGTAACTGGATTTTCTTGTTTTTTTCTTATTGACCCCCTCTTCTTTGGGGCAGCCCTTTAGATATTGGAAGACTGCTAACTTCAAAAAGTCACTGAATGAATGGCCATAACTCAAGGACTATGCGTACTCCTATCTAAAATAGCATTTGTCATTTATAAAACCTGGGACCATGACAAACATTTGTAAAAGTAGCTAAGAATTACAGCAGCTAAGATAAACAAGGCTATTTGGAATTTTTCATGAAAACCTTTATAAGAATTATTCTATTGGAACTGGATGAAGAAACTATGATACTAACATCCCATAATAAAATCTTTTTGCAATGGGGGGTCACTCTCTCATGCCATATGATACATTCCTGTGATTTGATGCTGTTCCTGATGTTAACGCTGTGACAATGGATGTCAACGCTCTGACAACTGAGAACCAGCAGCCATTTTTACTTTTGCTTTTAATGTGCCTTTTCTATTCTTTTAGAGTTCATATGTAGAAGTGGGGATGGGGTAAATGCCTGAGGGTTTAGCTAGCCATAACAATGTAGAAGTGTGGGAACTCAAGGATGTATTCTGATAAGGTTTTCATGGGCTGAGGGGCCGGAGAGAAAAGCCCGCAGTTTGTGCTAATTGGAGAATGTGATTTATGATAGCTTTTGTGGGGTGGGAATTGCAATTTGTTACTTTGTATCTGGGAGGAGGGAATCTCATTCTTGGGTTCAACTATGTAAGTGCTGATACTTTGTTTCCTAATAAAATGTTCTTTAAGGAAGAATTCTTGCCTAGAAATTCTTTTACTGGTTTCATCTATCGGAACCGTGACACCTGATGTCTAGATTCACAGGCTTGCAATTATCTTGTAATGTGATGGTCACTATAGAATGCTGAAAGCCACGGTTTCTCATTTCCAGCCACCCCAGTTGCTAAGGATCTATTTATTCTTTCAGCTTCTTGCCTATCTTAAGAATGTCCAATTCAACAACAGTACTGGAAATAAAGTCACAACCTCAGAAAATGGACCAGGAAAAGCTCAATATGATGTTCTGTACTGGCTTTTGCTCCGCAGTCAGTCTTTTGTCCCCATAAAAGTTGGACAAATGGATCCTAAGTTTCCCCCAGGCCAGGAAGTTACCATCATCTCTGATGCAATGACCTGGGCCAGAAAGGTGGGCTAGAAAGAAATGTTCTGATTTCAGAAAAATGATTCATTCTCTCCTAGGGATGCAGAATTTTTTTTTCATTGAAAAAAAGGGTGGATTGAATCAGAAAAATTGATAGCCAAGTGGTGAAAAGATATTTTCATGAAACAGATTCAAGTCTGATGTCAACGCTGCTAATATTGGATATTCTTGCTTTGACAAAATAAGCAGAACTGTCTGGTATTTTTAGGGTTAATTTAGATGATGTTGGAAGGGGAGGAGTAAGAATATGTGTAGAGAAGGGGCTTTAGAATGGAAGTGAAACTTTGCCCCCAGCCTGATTGGAGACCGTGATTTATGACAGCAAAATAAAGGAGGGAAAATGCCAGTTTGAATGCCTTTCAGGAGAATGCAAGGGACTCGCAGGAGTCTTCTCCAGCATCATACTTCAAAGGCCTCAATTCTTGTAAAGTGATGGTCACTATAGAATGCTGAAAGCATTATGGTCCAATTTTCACATCCATACATTGCAACTGGGAAAACCAAGGCCTTGACTATATGCACTTTTGTTGGCAGGGTGACGTCTCTGCTTTTTAGTGTGCTGTCTAGATTTGCCATAGCTTTCCTCCCAGGAGCAAGCGTCTTTTAATTTCTTAGCTGCAGTCCCCATCTGCGGTGATCTTGGAGCCCAGGAAAATAAAATCTGTCAATACAATAATTATTGTATAAAGGTTTTAAACAAAGATTGTTTTCCTTATTTACAGCTTTTATTGATTTGTTGTACACTGCCCATGACTTTGCTAGAGATATGTGCTCCATTTATTCCCTTGTCTCGTGGGTATAACTAAAGCCTCTAGGCATTGGTATGATGACTCACACTTCCTAAGGTGAAGCGGACTGCCAACCTGCCCCATCAGCAACCATTCTATCTGAACATACGATGGTACAGGCCAAACTCCATCTTGTGTGCAGGTGTTCACTTTGAGGTAGTTCATAAAGGCAACTTCACCTTGACTCTCAAGTCCACCTGTTCTGTGGATTAGCAACAAGAGACACAAACATGTTTTTAACTATGTAATGTACAAACAATCTCTATTGCCCTACAGATAGGACAATTGCTTTCCCCTCAAATTATCAGAAGAACAGTAATTCTCAATGTATCCCCTGTGGACATCAACCCACAAAAGTTTTCCAAGGTTAAAACTGCTATAAAATATATTCTATAAAATATATTCTCTGAGTTCTCCCAGCGGTGGAGGACTTTGCCTTGTCCTCCAAAGAGCTAACTGTGGGGTTTGGTGAGACTCAGCTTGCCTTTGTGTCAAAGCCCAAACGCAGGTAAGAGAAAATATGATTGATACAGTATTTTATTGATGGATTAGTCTTGCAACCTTATTATTAAAATAAAATACAGCACACAGTCTCATTTCAGAATAGGACAGATAGGATGAACTAAAGTGATAAAATACAAATGGCTTAATACAAAGTGGCATCAGATAAATTAACCCTGAGGCCATCCAGGGTTGTGTCTGTGGTGCTAAAGCTCTGATGGTATTTCTGAGGCTCCCTGCAATTCAGCTTCCGGACAGACCTTGATTTCTGATCTGGGAGGGACGGTGACAAGGATGACTGGGCTGCCTCTCCTGTTGCTTCTGCTGATCCTCTGGCTCCTGACTCCAGTTACTGCTAAGAAGATTCAGACCATCTGTCCATTGAAAATACACGTGAAATTTCGAGGTCAGTGGGAATTTTACAGGCCTGGTGATCTGATTATTGGAGGGAATTTGCCCCTGAATACTTTTGTGGAGTCCAGAGCCCCAGATTTTCAAAAAGACCCATCACAATTTCTTAATGACATCACGTAAGTTTCACCTGGAGGGGAAAAAAATGTAGGTGACTGTTTTCTTTCCTTTGGATTTTAAGAAATGCTCATTCTAGGGATCTTCAGCTCTTTGTCCTTTTCTCAATAAAGAGGAAAATTCAAGAAACAGGTTAGAATTCTTGTCTTTAAAAAACTTTTCCTGAGGGGGCATGACCTGTCTTTCCAGAAGTTCTTTTCAGAATGATTATCAACTATATAAAAGTAGATAGTGAAGAAGTTGACTTGTAACAGTGGTGGCGAACCTATGGCATGTGTGCTGGAGGTGGCACTCAGAGGCCTCTCTGTGGGCACGCACAGTTGCCTCAGCCCCGCCTCCCCCATGGCCCCCTTCTCACCAGCAGCCCCCCTGGAGGAGAGTCACCCCTGAGCGTGGTCCACATGGAGCAGCCGGGCAGTGGGGACAGGACTCTGCCCTCACCTCCCATCATGCGCAGATGATGCTGCGGGGTACGGGCGGAGGGTGTGGCTGCCACGGTGCTTCTTGGCCTCTTCGGCAATCTACTACAGTGGGCCGTGTAGGTGGTGGGTGGGTTTGCAGGGGAGTGGGGGTGGAGCAGGCGGGGCACAGAGCACGGCAGGCGGGGAGACAGTGGCGGGTTTGGGGCACTCAGTCTCTAAAAGGTTCTCCATCACTGACTTATAACATTCATTTGGACATAAAAGCATAGTAAAAAAAAACCCTCAAAGTTTGATCTTTTTCCAATGTGGATATTGTAAAAACAAAACAAAAACCAAATCCTCCTCAGCTTTGGAATCAGCAGTGCTCGTGAATAATGTTCCTTACTAAATCTGGGCTGTGACCCTCGCTGGAGTTGTTGCTCAGACATGAAGAAGCTGCTCTGAGAGAGGAAGAAACTGGTTAGGGAGGAAGAGGAGCAATTGGGGAGGATTTCAGCCAATGGGGGAAAGTGAAGAAGGGAGGGAGAATAGAGGGAGATAAGATGATCTGGGATAAGGATGGCAGGTGTTTCTCCTTTCTCAGAGATCCATCCAAGCACAATCAAGGAACATCCCTAAAAAGCCAGAAAGAACCCAATGGAACTTGCCACTTACTGCTGCAAGGACACACACAAAATGTTTTTCTCACTATAGACTCTTACTCAAAAAATACCATCAATTCCTGGCCTTGATGTTTGCTGTCATGGAGGTGAACAAGGATCTGCTTCTTCTCCCCAACATCACCCTTGGCTTCCGCATCTATGAAAATCAGAAGATGGAGAGGAAGATTTTCTTATACAGCCTCTCCTTGCTCTCCACACGAGGTCAAATGGTTCCAGGTTACAAATGTGACAGGAAGGACCCTCTGCTCTCTGTCATTGGAGGTCACAACTCCGAATCCTCAAGGCAGATGGCCTCCATCTTCAGCATCTACAAGGTCCCACAGGTAAGGGGTTTGTGTGTGGAGTACACAAACAACCGAAGCACACACAGAAGCCAAGGAAGAAAACAAAGGTGTTTGGTGGGAGGTGGCATACACCAAGGGTGTGTGACTTAGATAATCGATCCTAAAGCTGAATTGGTTTTTCTATTTTGTATGTCAAGATACATTTTTATTTAACTGCACAAAGATATTGGCATAATTCAGAACTGCAGTATTTGCGAAGAGGAATCACTTCCTGACTTTCATAAAAGTTTATCATCTTTCTGCACTTTTCAGTGCAGTTTAATCAGGTTGATGATTTGTTCCTTTGACTTCTGATCTATCACAACTAGACAACACAAGTCAATGTTGGCTCTTCCTAAGAAGGGAGGAAGATGAAGCTGAGTCAGTCTGACTGGTGAGTCAGTCTGACTGGTAGGGCAATAAACTACACAATGGGGAGCCTTAAAGTCACCCTAAAACTTAACTTTGTTTTTGAAAGAAGAATCTCACTTTCTCCAGCTTGGTGTTGGCTCGGAGTCCACTCAGGGAGACAGAAGCGTTCATCCTTCCTTCTTTCGGATTAACCCCAAGGAATCTGCTCAGTATGAGGGTCTAGTCCATCTGCTCCTGCATTTCCAGTGGAACTGGGTTGGGCTGGTGGCCAACCAAGATGACGGTGGGGAACATTTCATTTCATCTCTGCTGCCAATGCTGAAGGAGAAGGAGATCTGCCTGGTCTTCACTCAAATAATGAAATTTGATTTTTACACTGATCCAGGTACAAAATTACATCATCTTTTCAACACTTGGTCTAAAGGTGAAGTGATTATTTTTTTGGGAGACTACAGTGCTACCACAAATATGTGGATAGTTGTGTTTGTTCATCAAACACAGAGCAATATATTTATGAAGGTGTGGATCTTTACATCCAGTTGGAAATTTAATGTGATAAACTCTGGAGATATATTGCATTTTATGAAGACCTACCATGGTGCTTTGCATTTTAGGGAACACACCAGAGATGTCTCAGAGTTCAGCCATTTTCTCATGTCTTTAGACCCTTTGAAACCACAAGGGGATTTTTTTTCTCTCTGTATGGTGGCAACTGATCTTTGGCTGCAAGCTCCAGAAACTAAGAGTGATCTTTGAAAAGTGGGAGAAAGTCTGTACTGGAGAGGAGAATTTACAGAGTCTGCCAGCTTACCTGTTTGAAACAACTATGACAGGTGAAAGTTACAACATCTACAATGCCATTTATGCTGTGGCACAAGCATTACATGTAATTTATGGATCAGGAGCGCAAACAGCTATGATGAGACTTGGAAAGAGGATCTTAGATATCCCGCCATGGCTGGTAATCTCTGTTTTTTTTAAATCCAATCCACAGATCCTTAGAGCTAACATACAGAGGAAGTTCCCCATGTGTAGAACATAGAATAATAGAGGTGGAAGGGATCTCAGTGGTCTTCTAACCCAAACCCTGCTCAAGCAGGAGACCCTATATCACTTCAGACAAATGGTTCTCCAGTCTCTTTTTGAAGGTCTCCAGTCCACCCACAAATTCTGAAACCAGTTCCATTGGTTTTGCTCTCACTGTTAGGAAATTTCTCCTTAGTTACAGGTACCTTCTCTCAATAATAATAATAACAAAAACAACAACAACAACAACAACAAAGTTGGAAGGGACCTTGGAGGTAATCTAGTCCAACACCCTGCTCAGGCAGGAAATCCTATAGCATTTCAGACAAATGGCTGTCCAGTCTCTTCTTAAAAAACTCCAGCGTTGGAGGATTCACAGCTTCTGGAGGCAGGTTGTCATTGTTCTAACTGCTTCACTTTTTGGTTAGTTTCCATCTTGTCCTTCTTCTAGGTGCTATGGAGAATAGCTTGATTCCCGCTTCTTTGTGGCAGCTAGTGAGATATTAGAATACTGCTATCATGTCACCCCTGGTCCTTCTCTTCATTAAACTAAACATACTCAATTCCAGCAACCGTTCCTTATATGTTTTATCATCCAGTCCCCTAATCATCTTTGTTGCTCTTCTCTGTACTCTTTCTAGAGTCTCAACATCTTTTTTACATTGTGGTTACCAAAACTGGATGCAGTATTCCAAGTGTGGCCTTATCAAGGCATTGTCAAGCGGTATTAACACTTCACATGATCTTGATTCTATCCCTCTGTTAATGCAGCTTAGCACTTTGTTGGCTTTTTTGGCAACTGCAGCACATGGCTGGCTCATATTTAAGTGATTGTCCAATAGGACTCCAAGATCCCTCTAATAGTTACTACCATTGAGCGAGTTGTCACTTATATTGTACCTGTGTATTTGTTTTTTCTTGCCAAAAATGTAGAAGCTTACTTTTTTCACCATTGAATTTCATTTTGTTAGATAGCACCCAATGTTCAAGTCTGTCCAGATCCTTCTGTATCTTAAGCCTATTTTCTGGAATGTTGGCTATTCCTGCCAGCGTGGTGTCGTCTGCAAATTTGATGAGTTTCCCATCTATCCCCTCATCCAAATCATTGATGAAGATGTTGAAGAGCACTGGGCCCAGAACAGAGCCTTGGGGCAACCCACTGCACACTTCCCTCCATGTAGATATAATTCTATTGAGGACCACACGCTGAGTATGGCCTGTCAGCTAGCTACGAATACATCTGATGATGATGCTGTCTAACCCACATTTTTCTATCTTATCAAGTAGTAGGTTGTGATCTACTTTATCAAATGTCTTACTGAAGTCCAAGTAAATTATATCCACAGCATTCCTCTGGTCCACTAATTTTGTTACCTGGTCAAAGAATGCAATAAGATTTGTCTGGCATGATCTCTTTTTGACAAACCCATGTTGGTTTTTTGGTAATGTGTTCTAGGTGTTTGCTGATTTGCTGCTTGATTATCTTTGCCAAGATCTTCCCAGGTATTGAGGTCAGGCTGATAGGTCTGTAGTTTCCTGGATCCCCTTTTCTTCCTTTTCTGAAGATGGGAACTACTTCAGCTCTTTTCCAGTCCTCTTGTAGTTCCCCAGTGTGCCAGGATCTTTGAAAAATAGTTCAGTGGTTCTGAGATCACATCTGCCAGTTCCTTGAGAATCTTGGGGTGTAGTCCATCTGGTTCTGGTGATTTGAACTCATCTATGGTGGACAGGTGCTCACTTATCATTTTCTTGCCTATCTTAACTTGTATTTCTAATCTATATTTATGGCATTTTTTGATAGGTTGGACTGTTTTTTTCCCTTTGTGTAAATACAGATGCAAAAAAGGAGTTAAATAGTTCTGCTTTCTGCTTGTAGTTTGTCACATTCTTGCCACTTTCATCCATTAATGGACCAATCATTTCCTTAACTATTTTCTTGTGTTTTACATGTTGAAAGAAGCTTTTTTTGTTATTTTTGACCTTGGTCGCAAGCCTTAGTTCATTTTGAACCTTAGCTTTCCTCACTTCATCTTTGCAGGCTCGGACTATTTACTGATATTCTGCTTTACTTATGTGTCCCTCTTTCCACTTTTTATATTTCTCCTTTTTATCTTTCAATTTACCAGAGAGTTCTTTATGCAGCCATGTTGGTTTCTTTTGAGAGCTGTTGTTTTTCTTCTTTGTTGGTATTGTGCTAGACTGGGCTTTTATTATCTCATTTTTCAAAATTTCCCAAGCTTCTTGAGTTGTTTTCCCCTTGAGGATTCTCATCCAGGAATTGTTCCCAAGCTCTCTCTACGTTTATTGAAATTAATTCTCTTAAAATCCAAGACTCTAGTTTGATTGTGATCTATTGCTTGTGCTTCCAGAATGTTGAATTCCAGTATTGCATGATCACCCCCCCCCCAAAGATTCCTGTGGCTTCAACACCTTCTATCATTTCATCTCTGTTAGTGAGTATTAGATCCAATATGGCTAATCCCCTAGTTCCCTTCTCTGCTTTTTGGGCCACAAAGTTGTCTGCTACGTTTACAAGGAATATGTTTGATCTTCCACTTGATGCAGAGTTTTTCTCCCAGTTGATGTCAGGGTAATTAAAGTCCCCCATTTCTATTGTGATGTGCTTCCTACATTCCTTAGTTATCTGCCTGGTAAAAAATTCATCTATTTCCTCTGTTTGGTTGGGTGGCCTATAGTATATACCTATGACAAAGTCATTGTGCTGACCCAGGGCCCTGAACGAAGGCAAAGCAATTAGCTGGTCAGAACAATTGTCTTTGTAAGCACTGCCAACGTTCACCCAACAGCCCCCACATATGCTGGCACAAGTTCAATAAAACAGTCAACAAAGTTAAACAGTTCTTTAAAGTAAAACAGACAACAAACTAAGTATGATCTTTTCAACGCCCAGCTTGCCTGTGACCTGCAAACTGCAAAACTGAGGACAGCAAAGAGAAATCAGAAAAAAGCAAACTTGGTCCAAAATACAAAGAGTCCAGGTACAGGAACGCACATCACAAGAGTTCACATTTGTTCCCGGCAAATGCCCCATCCCACAGTGTCTCCTTAAATACCTACTCCCCAGGTGTGCCTTGTGGAATGGGGCGTGACGCTCTTCTCCTGAGCAAGTGAGCCTGCCTCTGTTGTTCCCTCCTCCTCTCTGCTCTCCTTGCTCTGGGATCAGGTGGGGAGGGGCCTTGCTCCTCGCCTGAGCTCCGCCTTCCCTGTTCCAAACTTAAAGGGCCCTGGCCTACCTCAGCCTGTTCCTCCCCACAGTCCTCCGAAACCACAGACACCCCCTCCTGGGCCTCAACAGGGAACTCCATGTCGTCCTCAGAGTCAAGCTTGGACGGAGGCATGACAGTCATTTTCCCCCCTTTTATGTTTACCCAAATGCAGTTTTCATCATTGTTGTGCTCTATTTCTGTAGAGATGTAGTGATTTCTTATATAGAGAGCAACTCCACCTCCTCTTTTATTTGCTCTGTTTCTCTTAAATAATTAAAATCCCTCTAGCTGTGTGTTCCATTTGTGGGTTTTATCCCACCATGTTTCCGTAATGGCAACAATATCATATCTGCCCTCATTTACCTGAATTTCTAGCTAACCTGTTTACTGTTCCTACTCTGTGCATTGGTGTATAGACATCTGAGTCCTTTATGACTGGCCCTGTGTTTACTTTCTATATAACATGTGTGGTGCCTGAGTTCCCCTGTGTTCTTACCGCCTGTTCGGTTAGTAAACCTTGTGTTGCTCTCGCTAAAAAAGCTTGATTTTACTTGACAGCAAGGTTGGTATTCTTGTCCACACACATATCTATGTTACATGCACTGATAACCTGTAATTTTTTGATTACTGGGGACAGGGAAGTTCTGTATCATTTAACTCACTGTCCCCGTTGTTTAGTTAAAGCAGATTAAAACAGCTATATTTTTAAAAAAGACAATAGTACAGATTAAGTATAATATTTGATTCAATACAGGTAGAAGGGGGGAAGGAGAAATAAAACAAACCAATTGTACATAAGATTCATGTATGTATTACCTTCCCAAAAGGTTTTCAGAAGTATTGAAAGCTTGTCAATTTCATGGAATGATCATTACACAGAGTGATCCAGAGTAAGATGACAATTCTGCCAGATGCTGCAACAGGTCAACTGAAGTCCTAGTAGACATATTTGCGGAACCACCTCTGTTTCCTTCATGTTGTAGCCTGAATCTAGTTGTAGCAAGACACTTGACTCAATCCATTGTAACCCTGGTTTTCGTTACTATGGCTTATGCTGTGTGATCCCTCCGATATATTTAATTTGCCATTTGTTGCACTGAACTGCTTGTTGTGTGAAACCACCCTCTGCCGACTTTAACACACACAACAGGAATCACCGTAGACTAAAATTCATGAAACTGTGCTTTTTTTCTGCATCAAACCATAAAGAATGCACCTTTATGTCCGTTGAAGTCACAAATCAGGGCAGGCACTGCAAGGAAAACAAATTGTTAGAAGAGTGGGAAAGTGTTAGTAATTTGTGAACGTCTCTTTCCATTCAGCTTCTTCCCTATTTGAGGAACATCCAGTTCAATAACACTGCTGGAGATGAAATCTACTTCTCAGAGAATAGACTGGGGTCTGCTCGTTATGATCTTTTCAACTGGGTTCTCCTCCCCAATCAATCTTTTGTCTCTGTGAAAGTTGGACAGATAGATCCAGGGGCTCCTGCAGGACAGGATTTCACCATTAACTCTGATGCAATTGTCTGGGCAAAAAAGGTGAGCTGGAAGGTAAAATAAATCCAGTAAAAGGGTCATTCTCTTCTGGAGATTCAAAACAGCTCCTTTACTGGAGAACGGGTTACTGAATCAAAAATATGGCAACCATTTGATGAAAAGCCTGTTTCATATGTAACATATTTGAGGTTTGATTTGTGACATATCAAAAAAAGTTGAGATCAGGAAGAAATTCTTCTTGAAACACAGGATGCAGTTAGAGCAGCCAAGAGTGGTTTCCATGGATGATTCCCATAAAGATGGACCTCCATCACTGTTTGCTTCTGAAAAGCTGTAGCTCAATTCACAATCCTTCTTTTGCATGTCAAGCAACAGTTCCAAACCCCAGAATCCATTGGTGGTTTAGAGTGGCATTAGCCTTAATCCTCCAAGAGCTTTTCCTGGTTTGTGCTTCACTTGAGTTAAAGATTGAGTCTGAAGATATTCTAAGGATGGAAAGAGAACTATACAAATGAAGGAGTGAAGCATGGCTGAAGACATCTACAGTATTTCTGTTTTCTCTTTTAGAAGGTGCCCTTTGCCAGATGTGGCATGAAGAGGTGCCAGGCAGGAGAGAGGAAAAGTGTTCCAGAGGGTGAGGAGGTTTGCTGCTACCAATGTGCCCCTTGCCCAGAAGGGACCATTTCTAATCAGACAGGTAGAGCACACTTTCAATGTAGCTTTTCCAGGATCAAGGAAGCCAATTGGTAGAAACAAATATTAATTTTGTTGTTATTTTTAGTCGATTGATATTCTTCAACATATTCATGCTTTTCAGCAGAATTTCTATTCATGGATCTAAACTAGCCTTCTGCCCTCCTCCCCAGCCACCTTTCCTGCTCCTCAGCAATTTAATGAAGGGTAGTTTCAGGGCACAAATAATGGGTTCCCTACTAGATGTTCTAGTCCTACTATTGCTGCAAACTACATCCAGGAAAACAAGCTACCAAACTTTTTGTGAAGTAGTGGGGTGTAAAGTTGAAGCTTTGATTTTCATTATTTAGGGCGTGCTTTCCTCTCAGTGCTATCAGTCTCCCAGAAGATAAAGAGACCAGTTGGAGAAGAGGGAGATCCATCTAAGTCTGCCTGCCCTTCCCTGCAAAAAATTGTCTGAATGAGTTGATGCAAAATAGAAGTAGAGAACTGGATCCCCACAGGGGGAAACATCCTTGTCTCGAGCTAACCTATCCTCAGGATAATTGAAGTACTCTTGATTTCAGATTCTGCAAGCTGTGACCCCTGCCCAGAAGACCGATATTCCAACATGGACAAGGACCACTGCATTGCCAAAAAGATCCACTTCCTGACCTATCAGGAGACCCTGGGATACACTTTAGTAACTCTAGCATTTTCTTTCTCTGTGATCACATCTGCAGTGCTGGTGATATTCCATAAACATCGTGACACACCAATTGTCAAGGCCAACAACCGAGATCTCACCTATCTTCTCCTGGTCTCCCTCCTGCTCTGCTTCCTCTGCTCCTTCCTCTTCATTGGTCAACCTGGGAAGCTCACCTGTCTCTTACGACAAACTGCCTTTGCCATTCTCTTTTCCATTGCAGTTTCCTCTGTCTTGGCAAAAACTGTCATGGTGGTTCTGGCCTTCATGGCCACTGAGCCAGGGAACAAGGCAAGGAAACTCTTGAGAAAACCACTGACCAACTCCATTGTCTTAGTCTGTCCCCTGGTCCAAACAGTTCTTTGTATTATCTGGCTGGTAACCTCTCCCCCATTTCCCAACATGGACTTCCACTCCTTAGTAGCAGAGACCATCTTGGAATGTAATGAAGGCTCAACTTTAATATTTTATGCTGTCCTCGCCTACCTGGGTTTTTTGGCCCTCGTGAGTTTCACAGTGGCCTTTCTGGCTAGGAAATTGCCCGACAGCTTTAACGAAGCCAAGTTCATTACTTTTAGCATGCTGGTCTTTTGCAGCGTTTGGATCAGCTTCCTCCCCACCTACCTGAGCACCAAAGGGAAGTTCATGGTGGCCGTGGAGATCTTCTCCATATTGGCCTCTGGGGCTGGTCTTTTGGCTTGTATCTTTTTCCCCAAATGCTACATTATCCTACTAAGGCCACATCTGAATTGTAGAGAGAATATAATGAGGCACAAAAATGTCTGATTTGTCCTGGGATTGGGAAATTTTACTTGGATTGGGGCATTTTGGCAGTTGTCCCTGGTAAAGGCCCAATCATCTTCTGAGTAATATACATTGATATCAAAGATATGGATATTTATTAAACACATTTATGTAGCCACCCAACTCACACATGTGACTCTGGGCAGCTGAAAAAATATTTTTTTAAAAAAATCCATCCTATAATAAATCCATGATATAAAAAAAAACATAACCCACAATTTATAGCAGGAAGGTTTCCCACTTCAATAAAATGTGCTGGATTGTGTTGGGTGGCTGGGGAGCAGGAGGTGAAGATTTTTATTTTACAAAAGTAAATGTTGCAAATTTTAAAAGATATATATTAATTTCCATTTTCTTTTTCTGGTCTGTCTTTAATGTCCTTTAGTATTTTCTGTTTATTTGTTCCTGGAGAGCCTTCTTCTCCTCTTCTGGCTCTCGGCTCCATCTGAGAAAATGGTTGGGAGAACATTTCCCTCTGCCAGGTTCTGAAGGGAGAAAATCAATTACTCCCCCTGTACTTTTCTCATTTTCTTCCTTCATCCCTATTGCCTCTTCTCATCACTCAAGGACGTGTTCTGATAAGGTTTTTGCGGGCTGAGGGGCCAGAGAGAAAAGCCCATAGTTTTTGCTAATTGGGGAATGTGATTTATGACAGCCTTTGTGGGGTGGGAATTGCAATTTGTTACTTTGTATCTAGGAGGAGGGAATCTCATTCTTGGGTTCAACTATGTAAGTGCCGATACTTTGTTTCCTAATAAAATGTTCTTTGAGGAAGAATTCTTGCCTTGAAGTTCTTTTACTGGTTTCATCTATCGGAACCATGACACCTGATGTCTAGATTCACAGGCTTGCAATTATCTCGTAATGTGATGGTCACCATAGAATGCTGAAAGCCACAGTTTCTCATTTCCAGTCACCCCAGTTGCTAAGGATCTAATTGTTTATTTCAGCTTCTTGCCTATCTTAAGAATTTCCAATTCAATGACAGTACTGGAAATAAAGTCACAACCTCAGAAAATGGACCAGGAACAGCTCAGTATGATGTTCTCAACTGGCTTTTCCTCCGCAATCAGTCTTTTGTCCCCATAAAAGTTGGACAAATGGATCCTAAGTTTCCCCCAGGCCAGGAAGTTACCATCACATCTGGTGCAATAACCTGGGCCAGAAAGGTGGGCTAGAAGGAAATGTTCTGATTTCAGAAAATGATTCATTCTCTCCTAGGGACGCAGAATTTCTTTCTCATTGGAAAAAAGGGTGGATTGAATCAGAAAAAGAGATAGCCAAGTGATGAAAAGATATTTTCATGAAACAGATTCAAACCTGATTTATGCCATGTCTGAGGAGGGATGGATTAGGAAAAAAATCCTAGCTGAAACCCAGGATGAAATTAGAGAAGGTAACAGTAAACTCCACGGATCATTCCTGTTTAATAGCAATAACAATAGCACTTATATACTACTTCACAGTGCTTTACAGGCCTCTTTAAGCAGTTTACAGAGTCAGCATCTTGCCCTCAACAATCTGAGTTCTCATTTTACTGACTTCAGAATTTGGTTGCAATATTGCATTCTAACTATTGTGCCACCATGGCTCTTACAACAGAAAGAAAGGAAGGAGGAGAAAGAAAGAAAAGGAGAAAGAAAAAGGAGGGAGGTAGTGAGGAAGGAAGCAGATGAAAGAAGAGGGAGAGAAAAAGAGAAGGGAAATAAGAGATGGAGGGAGCAGGAGAGAAAGAAAAAATGGAGAAAAAGAAGGAAAGAAAGGAGAGAGTAGAAGGAAGGAAGGAGAGAGAGAGAAGAAAGGTAGAAAGAAAAGGGTGTGAAGGAAGGAAAGAAGGAGGAAAGGAGGGAGAGAGAGAGAATAGCAACACCAATAGAACTTAAGACTTATATGCTGCTTCTCAGTGCTTTCACAGCCCTCTCTAAGCTATTTACAGAGTCAGCATATTGCCCCCAGCAATCTGGGTCCTCATTTTACTGACCTCAAAAGGATGGAAGGCTGAATGGACCCTGTGAGGATTGAACTGCTGCCGGTTGGCAGAATTAGCCTGCAATGCCGCCTTCTAACCACTGTGCTACCACTGCTGTTAACTGAAACATTATGATTCCTTCTTTTAGAAAAAGCTATAGCTCAAAGGCACAATGTGCTCTTCCATTTCCAGCTGACCTTCACCAGCTTCTTGTTCCCACTGGTGATGATGCGCAGCTGGCCAGCACTGCTCCTTGCCATGGAAGGCCTGCCTCACTAAGTCGCTCATGGTGATTTACTCAGCAGATCCTGCTAATAAGGCCTTGTGTAGCTAGTAGCTGCCTTGTGAAGGGTTAATCCTGGCATACCTCATCAACAGCAAGAAGTAAAATATGATGAAGGTCAGTTGAAATGATAAACCAGAGGGTGGCAGCAGGGCAAAGAGGGTAGCTATGGCTGGGTCTATGTACCATGCTTCTGGGCTGAGATAGTTGAGGCTTCATGCTGTAATTTGGAGCTTCATGGCAAACTGTGCCTCTGGGGCTGCTTTCCATGCTGTGCTTCATGGGCCTCTTTGTGCACTGTGCAATGACAATGCTTTCCAAGCTGCATGGCATGAGATGGCACTTCTTAATTACATTAGAAAGTCCAGCATATGGGAGGAAGAACACAATGATTCACTAAGGAGAACAAGAAGGAAGGTCCATTGTGGCAGTGGCAGGGGGATATAGTAGCATAATGTAGTCAAAATGGCAGAGCTGGGGGAGATAGCTGGGTAGGGGGAGTTGAAGGGGAGGCAGACCCTTCCCTTGGAAGACCTCAGGCACAGGGCTAGGAGGGATCAAGCCAGGAATGTCTTCAATCAACATGGGACCTTGGCTAACAACCGATAGAATTCATTTGACCACAATTACTGGAATTGTCATCATGAAGCATGGTATGTTTCTGTTAATGTTTGCTTCTCTTAACAATGGAACTGTTGTTTCCAATTTGGGTGGCTGATTCAGGACTTCCTGTGGCTGCCTTACATGAGAGAAGCACAAATTGGTTAGCTGGCAATGCCACTGGTCTCTGTTCCCCAGAAGCTGTTCCCAGTTGACATTCCAGAATGGTGAACCAGCTTTTCTAAAGACCTTTGGAAGATGGAGATATCAATGTGGGAATTAAATGATGCATGATCATTGAATAGACCATCCCAGGTATTCCTCTTTTCTCTTTTAGAAGGTGCCTTTGCCAGGTGTGGCGTGAAGAGGTGCCAGGCAGGAGAAAAAGAAGTGTTCCGAAAGGCAAGGTGGGTTTGCTGCTACCAGTGTGTCCCTTGTCCAAGAGGGACCATTTCTAATCAGAAAGGTAGAGCAACCTTCAAATGTAGATCTTCAGGATCGAGGAAGCCATTCAATAAACTCAAATATTACCCTGTGCAACATCTAGAGGTCTTCCTGGACTCATAACTCCTGCTTGAGGATGGAGTGGCAGTTTTGGCTAAGAAGGCCCTTTCACAGCTTTGTTTATGTGCCAGTTGCACCCAATTCCTGGATGAAGGATGCCCTGATCCACTCTTGTTTGGATTATTGCAATATGTTATATATGGGGCTGCCCTTGAAGAGTGTATAGAAACTTCAGCTTTTGCAACAGGCAGTAGAAAGAGCAGCTATGTTTCTTGTAGGGCACATTATCCCTCCGCTTGGTCAGCTGCTTTGTTTGGCCTCATCACTCTTGACCTTCTGAGGTTCCCCCAAGCCTGCTTCTGCCAGTAGACATGGGGACCCCAAGAGCAAGGTAAACCCATGAGTTGGCTTTATTATTATTAACATCCCTATGTCTATTATTCTCTTCTCTGGTTTTAGTTCTGATAATTTCTAATTCCTTTTAATAATTATTGTTGTTATTGTTAATTGCAAAGTCATGTCTGACCTTTCACGACCCCATGGACAACATCCCTCCAGGCCTTCCTGTCTTCTACCATCTTCAGAAGTCCATCCAGCCACCTCATTCTCTGTCGCCCCCTTCTTCTCTTGCCCTCCATCTTTCCCAGCATTAGTCTCTACTCCAGGGAGTCCTTCCTTCTCATTAGGTGGCCAACGTACTTGAGTTTCAACTTCAGGATCTGGCCTTCTAAAGAGCAGTCGGGGTTGATCTCTTCTAGGAATGACCTATTTGAATGCCTTTTAGGAGAATGACAAGGGACTCGCAGGAGTCTTCTCCAGCACCATAGTTCAAAGGCCTGAATTCTTTGTCGTTCAGCCTTTCTTATGGTCCAACTTTCACATCCATATATTTCAACTGGGAAAACCATGGCGTTGACAATACGCACTTTTGTTGGCAGGGTGATGTCGCTGCTTTTTAGTGTGCTGCCTAGATTTGCCATGGCTTTCCTCCCAGGAGCAAGCATCTGCGGTGATGTTGGAGCCCAGGAAAATAAAATCTGTCAATACAATAATTATTGTATAAAGGTTTTAAACAAAGATTGTTTTCCTTATTTACGGCTTTTATTGATTTGTTGTACACTGCCCATGACTTTGCTAGAGATGTGTGCTCCATTTATTCCCTAACTAAATCTATAACTAAATCCTCTAGGCATTTGTATGATGACTCACACTTCCTAAGGTGCAGCGGACTGCCACCCTGCCCCATCAGCAACCATTTTATCTGAACATACGATGGCACAGGCGAAACTCCATCTTGTGTGCAGGTGTTCACTTTCAGGTAGTTCAAAAAGTCAACTTCACCTTGACTCTCAAGTCCATCTGCTCTGTGGATTAGCAACAAGAGACACAAACATGTTTTTAACTATCTAATGTGCAAACAACATCTACTGCCCAACAGATAGACAATTGCTTTCCCCTCAAATTATGAGAAGAACAGTAATTCTCAATGTATCCCCTGTGGACGTCAACCCACAAAAGTCTTCCAAGGTTAAACCTGCTATAAAATATATTCTATAAAATATATTCTCTGAGTTTTCCCAGCAGTGGAGGACTTTGCCTTGTCCTCCAAAGAGCTAACTGTGGGGT